AAACCTCCCCAGTCCGGATCCCTGTTGTTTCCTGTGTGCTGATGCTGCTCTGGCCTCTGTGAGCCCCGGGAGCCTGTGGGGAGCCAGGCTGGTGATCTTCCACCTTCCCAAGGAGGAGAGTCCCACCTCCCGGGTGAGCAGCATGCTCCTGACCGTCCTGTGGAGCAAGCTGGTGTGGGGATAACCTTAGCCAGTGGCTATGCTTCAGTCATTTCTGCCAGGTACTGTGAGATGACTGCTTGGCTTGGTGTTTTTTCACATGGCAGCTTGCCTTGCCTTCCCCAAGCAGTTTTGGTCTCTAGTTTAGCCTGTTCTGAGACGGAAGCACGTTGGACCTGGAGGTGGAAGATCTGCACTCAGCATGGGCACTGCTCCTCCCTCATTGACTGGCCTTAGGCAGACCACGAATGATTCCCCTTACCCAGAGTCCTTGAGAGTGAACTGAGGCGATGGGAGAAAGTGGCTTCTAACCTGTAAAACAGCCTGCAGATGACAATGGTTTCATACCAGGCCCACAGGACTTGCCAGCATAGGTCAAGGCCACTGCCTCATTTCCCTTGGCCCCAGGAATTCCTTTCTTTCTGGAGTGCTTTATCCAGCTGGGTGCCCAGGTAGGAACCCCTAAGGGCCAGTGAGTTGTCTGCAGAGAAGTTCTAGCAGTTCAGGAGAGGAGCTAACCTGAGGCTGGGGCTTGTGGCAGTGATGTTAGCAAAGGCTCCAGGAAGAGGCCTGTGGTGAACTTGGGGCAGTGCTTTGAAGGGAGGGCTTCTCGGCAAGCGGAGGGGAGGTGAAGGCGTGGGTAGAGTATGTCAGGGCAGCAAGGAGAAACCTGGGTGGCTTGGAGGATGGTGGTGATGAAGTCTTTTTTTTTTTTTTGAGACGGAGTTTCACTCATGTTACCCAGGCTGGAGTGCAATGGCGTGATCTTGGCTCACCGCAGCCTCCGCCTCCTGGGTTCAGGCAATTCTCCTGCCTCAGCCTCCTGAGTAGCTGGGATTACAGGCACGCACCACCATGCCCAGCTAATGTTTTGTATTTTTAGTAGAGACGGGGTTTCACCATGTTGACCAGGATGGTCTCGATCTCTTGACCTCGTGATCCACCCGCCTCGGCCTCCCAAAGTGCTGGGATTACAGGCTTGAGCCACCGCGCCCGGCCTGGTGATGAAGTCTTAACAAAAATGTTAGAAGGTGCCTTGGGAGCTGCTAGCCCAAGAAGTTTGGGCTTTATTTGTAGGAGGGAAGCCACTGAAGATCCTTGAGCAGAAGAGAGACAGACCATAGAATGAAAGAGCTGGAAAGACTTTCAAATCCTGGGAAGCTGAATCCTTTATTTCACTGGAATAAAAACTGAATGCCAAGAGGGTTGCACTTTCCCCAAAGGCCATACAGCTATCAGGGGCAGTGCTGGGGTTCCCACCCGAGTCTCTTGGTTCCAGTAAGTGCTCTTTCTGATATGCCATCTGGCTCCGTAATGAACATGGTATTCCAGGAAAATCAGTCTGCGCTGAACAGGATAGAGTTGGGGCAGGATGTCCAGTGAGGATGTCCATTGAGGCAGTAGAGCAGTGGATTGCCAAATGACCACCTACTGTGACCTGAAAGATCAACCTCAGGGTGGATGGGAGCTTTCTAGTCTCTTGGGACAGCAGAAGCACAGGCCAGGTTGGACTGAATCGTTAAGTGGGACGTGATGGACAAAGTACCTCCTGTTGGTAAACATCTCCCCACTGGCCCACCGTGGTGGCTAAAATCCCGTCTTTAGTCCCAGCAACATGTGAGCATGTCACCAGGAGGCCTTCACAGACCTGTCCGCCACCTCAGTGTAGACCTCTTTTGACCCTGGAGCCCAGAGAGGCTGAAGGTGGAGAGGGTGGAGGGGTCTGTAGTCCTCAGAGAAGACTTGAGCAGCTTTTTCAGAGCCACCAACTACCCCATTAAAAAAAAAAAAAAAAAAAAATCCCCAAACAGAAAAACCCTAACTATGGTGACCAGGCACCTCCTGAGACATGAAGCCTCTGCTTACCCAGACCCCAGAGGCCTCTCCAGGCAGAGCTGCCAGTGTTGATCTTAGATAAGACCACCAGTGAGTAAACACCCACTTCAAGCTGTGTTATATTTGGGGAACTGAAATGTCCCTTGGGAGTTGGAAACTCCACGAGCCACATACCACAGAGTCGAGGAAGGAAGAGCTGATGGATGGAATCTGGTGTGTATGGTGGAGGAGGCACCCGGAAGCTACCTCACCGTCCTCTCTGTTACGGAACAGAGGAGAGATGCAGGCGGAGGACACAGCAAATCTGAATCACGAGGAACTTGGAAGAAGCCTGAGCAACCTGGAGGGGACTGGCTGACTAGCCTCATGCTTTCCAAGTGTGAATAATAACCAAGCCCAGTTTGGCAACTCGTTGAGGGTGAGGACGAAGCCACGATCTCCTTTTCGGAACTTGGTGGGGGCTCAGGAAGCAGGTTCCCTCCAGGCGGTAGCTTTCCTTCCCTTTGCAGGTCTCTTGAGGGCCTGCCTTCATGAAGGCGCATGAGTGACTCATTTGTGAATTAATTGCTATATGTAAAGAGTGTCTGAGGACAAATTATCTTCATATACTTTTCATTATAATTTTATTTGTACTGATAATTAGTTGGTTTAGCAAGCACTTTTTTCATAGATTTGGCTAAACTTCAGTCTGAAAGAGGCAGATTCTGAGGTTCTAGAAAGAGATTTTATTCTTTGAGATAGGGCCATTTGGTGGGATTTCTTTTTGTCCTAGTTGTAGCTTCCATAATTTCTAGATTCACATTTTCCAATAGATATATGCAGGCATACCTCGGAGGCATTGCAGCTTTGGTTCCAGACCATAATGAAGTGAGTCGCATGAATTTTGTTGCTTTCCCAGTGAATATAAAACTTATGCTTCTACCATACTGTAGTCTGTTAAGTGTGCAACAGCATATGTCTAAATATGTATGTTTTTTTTTGAGACAGGATTTTGCTGTATCACCCATGCTGGAGTGCAGTGGCACTATTATGGCTCACTGCAGCCTCAACCTCCCTGGACTCAGATGATCCTTCCACCTCAGCCTCCCAAGTAGCTGGGACTACAGGTACACACCATCACACTCAGTTAATTTTTGTATGTTTTGTAGAGACAGGGTCTTGCCATGTTGCCCAGGCTAGTCTTGATCTCCTGGCTTAAGTGATCCTCCTGCATTGGACTCCCAAAGTGCTGGGATTACAGATGTGTAGTCTTTGAAATCTGGTGTGTATTCTTATAGCGCGTTTCAATTTGGACTCGCCATGTTTCAAATGCACAGCAGCCACGTGGCTGATTCTAGATAGGTGGCCGTCACTCTGAAATCCTCCCTAACCTCAGCCATACTCTCTCATCCCTCTTCTTCGCCAAGCCCGGCCTCTCCCACTGGGGCTTCCCTAGCCTCCAGCCATCTTGGGGCCACAGCTCTAACACTTTGCCTCTCTTGTGTCTTCAGTCTGTTCCCTTTCAATGGCTTCTGCTTTCTGCCTTAAAATACACCCAGGTCCCTAATCCTGAAAAAGCTTGTTTTGCACCGATCTCACCCTCCCCTCATGTTATGTCTCCATTTCCTTTTCCTTTCCTCATGTCCCCTTCTTTACTGTGTCCTGGCTCCTCAAAACTCGAACTTGCCTCTCATCGCCACCACTGTACTGAAACTGTTCTCTCAGCGTTGCTGATTGTCCAGCCTTTTAGTGTATGGACTGCTAAGAGCCATAGGACCTCAGGGTGGGCTGTGGCCTGGAGGGCCATCTAATCTCAACTTCCAGAAGACCTGTGTTGGGTTGTGTTGGATTCATGAGGAAAGCTTCATAAGTTTTATGCACGTTTGTAAGACTCCATCCTTGGATTCTGATACAGTAGCTCTGGTGTGGGGGCCCCAGAATCTGTTTCAGGTATCCCAGGTAGTTTTGATTATAAATTACCAAGTATTCCAGGTAAATTTTGATTATAATGCTTGCTTCCGGCAGAAAATTTAAACATGGAAGATGCAGTCTTTCTCTCTGAATATCCTAATTGTTTCTACTAATGTGAATACCTTATATAACCACAGTACATTTATCGAAATTAAAACACTGTACTATACTGTTTTATTCTTTTTTTTTTTTTTTTTTTTTTGAGGCGAAGTTTTGCTCCGTTGCCCAGGCTGGAGGGCAGTGGCATGATCTCAGCTCATTGCAACCTCCACCTCCCAGGTTCAAGCAGTTCTCCTGCCTCAGCCTCCCAAGTAGCTGGGGCTACAGGCATGAGCCACCACACCCAGCTTATTTTTATATTTTTAGTACAGATGGGGGTTTCACCATGTTGGCCAGGCTGGTCTCGAACTCCTGACCTCAGGTTATCCACCCACCCTGGCTTCCCAAAGTGCTGGGATTACAGGTGTGAGCCACTGTGCCTAGGCTGCCTTGGTTTTCCTGAACTCTGACTTCTGTCTCTTCAACTCCCAGAGACTACTAGACACTGGAGTCTCTTTACCTTTTGGCCCAGAAACTGTTTCTGGGTAGTAATCTGGGGCATTTGCGGTACTTACCTAACTTGTTTCCCTTTTCCCAAACACTACCTGTTGTCCTATGGCTGAAAGCAGTTGTTTCATGTATTTTTCATGATTTCCTAGTTGTTTTTAGTGTGAGAGAAATTCTTATTATTAGTTTTAAAGAGACAGAGTCTTGCTATATTGCCCAGGCTGATCTCAAACTCCTCAGCTCTGGAGATCCTCCTTCCTCAACCTCCTAAAGTGCTGGTTACTGCACCTGGGTAGGGAATTTATTTATTTATTTTTTGCACGACAGAACTGCGCCCGGGTAGGGAATTGATTTTTTTTTTTTTTTTTGGCGAGTCTCGCTCTGTTGCCCAGGCTGGATTGCAGTGATGCAGTCATGGCTCACTGCAGCCTCCACCTCCTGGGATCAAGTGATTCTTGCTACTCAGCCTCCTGAGTAGCTGGAACTACAGGTACGCGCCACTGCATCTGGCTAATTTTTTTATTTTTAGTAGAGATGGGGTTTTGCCGTGTTGGCCAGGCTAGTCTTGAATTCCTGGGCTCAAAGCATCCACCCTTTTTGGCCTTTTTAAATGCTGGGATTACAGTTGTGAGCCATGCCTGGCTGGATAATTCTTATAACTATTAATCATTTATATGCAGAAGTGGAAGGTCTCCCCTTAAGTGTTTCTGAGCTCACTTGTAGATGGAAGCCTGTGAATATTCTAGTTTTGAGAGTTGCTCTCACATTGGCTTCCTGAGTTTTCTACTCAGAATGGATGAGTATTTGATGGCAATTTTTGGGGTCTCTGGCGTACAGCACCATAAAAACTCCCATTTTCTTTGCCCTGCTGCTCTCACAGAGGTACTGTCTCTGAAGACTTTGGTCCTACTCCATGTTCTAGGATCTGTGGGTTTCTTTTGCTGTCCTAGTTAGTTGGTTTTTGCAAAAGGATTAAGAACCACGTGGCTGCTAGCATCTCTGGCTCTAACCAGAACTCTATGCCTTTTATATTTCCCTTTTATTTCATTTGGGCGTGGCAACCACCTTGTAAGTTTTACATATAGTATTTCTATTTGACTAGCCTATTTTGTGGTAACAAATTTTGGGGTCTCCTCTTACCCCAGGAATAGGTTATGTGTTGGCACTCTAAGCAGAAACAACTGTCGTGGTGGCAACTGTATTTAACCCCGGATTATCTTAACCGATCCTTGGTGGTGTATTACAAATAGAGCACATGGCCAGGAACTCATTAACCTACCACCAACCCAGAGTGACACGGGACTAGTTCCTTCTCAGTATTTACTTGGCGACAGCAGCTGGCACCATAGGAAGCCCAGACCCAGGCTCAAGGAGTGCAGGGCATATCAGGAGGCAGACGCAGATGTGGCTAACAATTCAGTGTGGAACTCTACACTAAGTGCACGTGAAGGTGCCTTCCTGGGCTTTGCTTTTCTGAGTAATGGAAGGAAGGAAGCAGCTGTTTTTATGTTGGTCTCAGAAGGCTTGGGTTTTGTGGAGTGACTTGGGAAGATGACTGGGCTGGGCCATGGCCTCTCTGTCCTCTCCTTTAACCAAAGCAGTTTCACTTTTTTCCATGTTACATAGTATGATCAAAGATTTATTTTTTAAAAAAAGGTTTTGCTGTTGAAAAAGGAGGGAAGGACAAATAGGTAGACTGGGGGTCCTGAGGTGAGGGGTCTGATGTTTTATCTGGGTCTGTTTATACAAGTGTTTGGTATGAGAAGCATCCTTGGATTATAGCTGAGGAGCCCCCCAACTCACACCCTGATGCTGCAGTGGGGAGTAACTCCTGAGATGGGCCAGGCCCAGACGCTGGCTTTACTGCTTGGCAGTGCACAGTCCTGGACAGGGCTTCTGCCTTCTGAGCGCTTCCTCATCAGTGAACTGGGGATACCCATGCAGGGTTCTTGTGTTGCTTGAATTAGTGAATGTGTGAAAGATCCAGTGTAGTCTCTGGCTCATAGCAGGCTCAGTGAGTGATGGCTATAGTGATTGTCAGGGTCACAGGGCCTCTGCTGAGAGGTGGTACCTGGTTTAGGATTAGTTAGGTCTCCCCTCATGGGGGCCTCCTTTCCCTGACAGGGTCAGTAAACTGAATGAATTATGCCCACTTTCCAGGCCAGCCTCTTACCTATTGGTGTTCGGTACACATCACCTTGCATCTGCATGGCATTGTGTGGGTCACCTGATGCGCTAGCTCATTTGAGTCTTGCAGCCATTCTGTAGAGCAGACTGTATTAGTCCCATTGCACGGAAGAGGATATGTATGGAGAGGGTAAGTAGCAGATCCAAGGCTACAATCCTTGTCACCAAAGGTTGAGGAGTCCAGTGCTCTGTATGGTGCTTTCGGTATAAACTGAATCAGAGAGATACACAGTGACAAGGCACCTTTGTGGGTAGGGTGGAGCCAGGCCATCGCAGCCATGGCTTTTGTGAACGTTGACCTATGAGTCAAACTGAGCTGGTGGGGTGAGGTGAGGGGTGTTTAGGATAACGCAGCAGGAATTATAAGCAATATGACTTTATTTAGTTACTTTGGAAACAAAACCCCCCAAATGATGCCTGAACCCAAAGGTACATAAAAATGACCCAAAATAGTTTAAAATAGATTTGAACATCATTTGTAGTTTCTTCCTCATGAGTGCTTTCAGCTGGACAGCAGATTACAATGCATCTCTGAATCTCTGATCATGTTAAGGCAGATGATCAATCTGGCTGCATCTGTAACTCCTCCTGGGAAAATGATCCTGTTGGAGTTGGGGGCTTTTCCCAATTGTTTGGGCAGTTGGCCCAGGAAGGGGCAGTCCTGGAGCTGGCGGGTGGGGAGCCAGGCCCCACCTGTCTTGTCACTGCTCGTTCTGCTGGCCCTCTGTGACTGACGCCGACACGGAGCCCTGGCCCTTGTTGACATCACTGATGCATACCCACTGCCCGTCAACCGACTCCTTCCACAGGGTCACCTGCAAGTCAGGGCACAAGCAGACTGTCAGGGGTCTGTACCCCTCCCTCTGCTGTCCCATTTGCACTGGGTCCCCTAAATGAGAGCCTCAGCCCCATTAAGAACCACTGCCCAGAGGCTTGCGGGTGAGCAGAGCACGTCCCTTCTCCACTGAAATCCCACCAAAATGAGAAGGAATAAAAACTCACAGAAAGGAGTAACAATAACAGCAGCTGTGGATGATGTCAACACAGGATGCTATTTTCACTAAACTGTGCCAGAGCTACAGTAAGAGGATATGGGGTGGCAGGGAGGAGGGTTTGCAAAGTGTGGTCCCCAGATTGGTCACCTTGCTACAACTGCAGATTCTTGGGCCCTGGAACAACTGATTAAGCAGCTCTGAGGGTGAGGCTGGCAATCTATTTTAACAGGTTGAACAATACTGCAGTTTGAAAATCCGTGGTAGAGGAAGGTGATGGATCAATATGTTTCTACACTGAAGTAAGCTACATTAAGAAATAGCTAAGAGCTGAAAAGGTTTGCCCCTGGAGAGTGAAAGGAGGCTGCATTAAAAAAAAAAAATCAATCTAGGCCAGGCATGGTGGCTCACGCCTGTAATCCCAGCACTCTGGGAGGCCGAGATGGGTGGATCACCTGAGGTCAGGAGTTTGAGACCAGCCTGGCCGACGTGGTGAAACCCCCATCGCTACTAAAAATACAAAAAATTAGCCAGGTGTGGTGGTGGGTACTTGAAATCCCAGCTACTGGGGAGGCTGAGGCAGGAAAATCGCCTGAACCCAGGAGGCAGAGGTTGCAGTGAGCTGAGATTGCACCACTGCCCTTCAGCCTGGATGACAGAGCGAAACTCCGTCTTAAAAACCAGAATCAAAAATCTGAAGCTATGTACATACATTAGTTTGATTAAAAATGAAAATGATTTTGCCCAGGTATAGTGGCTCATGCCTATAAACCCAGCACTTTCGGTGGCAGGTGGATCACCTGAAGGTCAGAAGTTCGAGACCAGCCTGGCCAACATGGTGAAACGTCTCTACTAAAAAAAAAAAAAAATTATATATATATATATTACACACACACACACACACGCATATACATATATAAAAGATTAGCCGGGTGTGGTGGTGGGTGCCTGTAATCCCAGGTACCTGGGAGGCTGAGGCAGGAGAATCACTTGAACCTAGGAGGCAAAGGTTGCAGTGAGCCAAGATCATGCCATTGCACTCCAGCCTGGACAACAAGAGCAAAACTGTCTCAAAATTTTTTTTAATAACTCCTGCTTTAGGGACAAACTTTATTCACTAAACATACTGCAGAATACTCTGAGACTGAAAACATACTAAGTCCTTTGGCTAAGGGTGCTATGGAGACAGCAAAAGGAAATGAGCTTATAAAGGAAGGAAGGAAAAAGCAAGAAGCCTGAATGCATAGTGATGGGGACCCCAAACATTGCAATGTACAGCCTGGCACTTGGTTACAGCCTTGTAAAAATCACTGTGGGCCTGCTTGAGGCAATCTGGGACCGTTGGTCTGTCTTCAGTGCCATTAACCTGGGTTCTAGTCCTGACTCTGGCACTCCCTAGAAATATGGCTTTGATTGGGGGTGGGGGGGGGTGCTGCTAGATCTTTCTGAGACCACTGTAGATCAAAGGGAACTTCGGCCAGAAAAGCTGCCTGCAGAGGCTCTCAGAGATCTGCACTCCCATGTTCCCAGCTGCACTGTTCACAATAGCTAAGAGGTGGCAGCAGCCCAGGCGCCTATTGGTGGAGAAATGAGTGTAGAAATGGTGTGGTTGTCTATACAATGCAACACTATCTAGCTTTACAAAGGAAGGAATTCTGACATATGCTGCATACAGCATGGATGAACCTTAAGGGCATACTGCTAAGTGACAACCCAGTTGCAAAAAGACAAATATTGTATGATTCCACTTAGGAGAAGGGTGGCTGCCAGGGCTGGGGAAGGGAATTATTTAATGGGTACAGTTTCAATTCTGCAGCTGAAAAGAGTTCTAAGACCAGCTGCTTCTCTGCCTGGCCTGTGTTGTTGGTTATGCTGATCATGCAAATGAAAGGTAAGACAGGGAACTAAAGCGGCCACTGGGAAACAGTAAAAGACCAACATAGGCAAGGGAGAGAAGCAGCAAGGGCCGGCAGGATCCGCACCAACTTGCGCTTCAGATGCAGAGCAGATGTGCTTAAAAACGCAGCATGGCCACTCCCTGTGGAACTGACCCTATGATGTTAAGAGACCTCCGTCTTACAGGGGAATTCAGCTGGGCAGATGGCCGTGGCTTGTTAATGCTTCCTTTCTGCGGGTAGCTTTTTTTCCTTCTAATTGTAAAACATAAAACTTTTTTTTCCCACGAGGTCCCTGCTGTTCATGAACTGTGTATCTTGGTCATTTTTAACTGCACAGTCCAGTTGTGTGAAGTACATTTGCATCCCTGTGCAGCTGGTCTCCAGAACTCTTTTCAGCTGCAAAATTGAAACTGTTTCAATGCACCCACTGTGTACCTACCTCTTACCAGCATAACAAGTATTCACAAACTGTACAGATTTTTAAAAAATAAACTTTTAAATGTTACGGATAAAAAAAAATCCTTAATCCTCTTGCTTTTGTTTATGGGTTCTTTTTCTTATACACTTACTTTTTTGGCACAACTAACTGAACATCACCATGAAGTGACCAAATGGTTAGGGTGAGGGGCCTGACTGACTCTGCCGCCTCAGAGTTTTGGGACCCCTATGCAAGTCAGATTGCCTGCTAGCTTCTTTCCCCATCTGTGAAACGGGGACATATTAATACTGCTTCATGGGCTGTGACATTAATGATGTAACTAAGAGGCACACTCAAAATGCAGTCCTGGCTAAGGCTCCTTCCCTGCCTGCAGTCAGATGGGCATGTCAAGTGTGCTCTCTGGTGGGAGAGGCCCCTGTCCACCCTGCTGTGGGGAATGGGTGTGTACCTTATTGTCGCCACCAGAGACGGCCAGGATGTTGGCTGTGATGGACCAGCTCACATGCCACACCACATCATTGAACTTGTGCAGCAATTTGGGGGACCACGTATTGCCTGAGGCATCATCACAGGTCCAAATGAACACACGACCATCCTAGGAAGAGACAGGCTAGAGTCAGGAGATGGGAGCAAGACTCCTGTGTTTGTGATGTCCTCCAAATCTAGAGCCATGCAGCACCTCTGTGCAGGAACAGGTTGGGGGAGGATTCAAAGGGGAGCCAAGGACCTCTGGGGCATCCCAGAGAAAAGGAATCTGGGAGACTGTTGACCAGTGTGAAGAGACAAGGGTCTCCCAGATTCCTTTTCTCATCCGGGTTTCAGAGGTGCACTCTGCACTGCTCAGATTTTCTCTGGGGTTTTCCTCATGCCTCCCAAGTCACTTCACTGGCTGTCTATACTTCTCAACTGAATGGGCAGAGCTCTCCAAAAACCAACCTCCGAGAATAAGAAGGTACAAGTAAAACACAAAAATCTCACATCTAGAACCAAACAGGTTCCTATGATGTGAAAAGCCCGGCTGGCTCCCTCTAGGGTGGTGGCGTATAACTGAAGGCTCGCCCTTGGCTTTCCTTGCTGTCTGGGAAGGGTGGCTCGGTAGCTGAGCCTAGAATTCCCATCCCAGTCTACCATTGCTTGGGAACACGCGGAACTGCACCTGGGCACCTCTGCTCCCTAGTCTCACAAGAGTCAGGAGGGAAAATTCATCCCAAATCCACCTCCTTCTTGGCGCTGGTTCTGTTGTAGTCGTCTCATCTCAGCGGAGGCAGGCCACTTGTGACCTCTGACCAAGACTTCCCCACACAAGGACCTGACTCCCTGTGCTCTGGGCCAAAGGTACCTGTTGCTCTCCCTTTACCTTCCCTGAGGGCTTTCTGCTAAGAAGACTTTAGTCTGATAGACTAGAGACTAAATGACAAGAGATGCTCTCATGGCCCTGGGCTGACCTGGGAGCAGCTGGCGATGGTGCTGGTGGGCAGGCCGATGGAGGGAGCCCAGGCCACATCTCGAACCCAGTCACTGTGCGCTTCCAGCTTTTGCTCCTCCTTCCACTGGCCGTCCTCCTCCTCCCTAACAGGGGGGAACAGAGGGAGAATCAATCAGCAGGGAGCCGCCCTGTGCCTTTCCCACACTTCAACTCCTCCCCGACCTGACAGGCTCTGCCTGGGATGAAGAACTGATTCCATCTTTCTTATTTCATTCATGGAGTTCGTGGCATTTTATTCCATTCACTCCAGCTGGAAAAAAAAAAAAAAAAACCTCCAGGAAACACTTGGCTTCCACAGCCAGAGTCAGCTCCAACAGTTGGGAATTGGGTGAACAGGTGTTTTTGTTGTTTTTTTTTTTTTTGAGATGGAGTTTTGCTCTTGTTGCCCAGGCTGGAGTGTAATGGCATGATCTCGGCTCACTGCACCTCCCAGGTTCAAGCAATTCTCCTCTCTCAGCCACCTGGTAGTTGGGATTACAGGCATCCGCCACTACGCCTGGCTAATTTTTGGTATTTTTAATAGAGACGAGGTTTCACCATGTTGGCCAGGCTGGTCTTGAACTCCTGACCTGAGGTGATCCACCTGCCTCGGCCTCCCAAAGTGCTGGGATTACAGGTGTGACCCACTGC